CCAGCCATGAAGTAATGTATACTGTATGAACGCACAGTATACATTGTCCTAGGAGGAAATGTGAGAGGGAAAGTATATGACACTTGTTTGGGATTGGGAGCAGGGTCTGAAGAGAAATCCAAAGTTACTATAAATATTTCTAAACTTTCCTTTTAAAGGTAATGGAAATGTTCTAAAGTTACACTGTGGAAATGGTCACTATTTGTAAATATGCCAAAACTAAATGATTCATCTTTAAAAAAAAACCTGTCTGTCTATTGTCTGTCCATCCATCCATCCATCCATCCACCCATCCATCCATCCACCCATCCATATGGATGCTCTGAACTCAGAACCTCTGAAAGAGCAGCCAATACACTCAACTATCCAGCCCCATAGTTTTTTTTTTTTAAAGATTTATTTATAACTTATAGAAGTACACGGTTGCTGTCTTCAGACACACCGAAGAGGGCATCAGATTCCATTGCAGATGGTTGTGAGCCACCATGTGGTTGCTGAGAATTGAACTCAGGACCTCTGGAAGAACAGTCAGTGCTCTCAACCTCTGAGCCAAAACCAACCAAACATACAAACAAAAAACAACTAAAAATACCTTATGAAGTAAAGCAGTTAGCCAGTAAAGTTGACCAAAAAAAATGAATAGGGGAGTGGGAGCACTCTCATTAGCCTTTAATATTATAAACACAAATATTTCTTATATATGGCTATGGGCAGATAGTGGCTTGGCTGGGCGGTAGTGGCTTATGTTTTTAATCCCAGCACTTGGGAGGCTGAGGCAGAAGGATCTTTGAGTTTGAGACCAGTCTGCTTTATAGAGTGAATTCCAAGATAGCCAAGGCTACACAGAGAAACTTTTGAAAAGGCCAGAAAGCCAAAAAGCCCCAGCCCACCCCCCAAAACCATAGTGGCTGGAGCTATGGATATAATTCAGTTGGTATAATGCTTGTACGGCATGCACCCAAAGCTCTGGATTCCATTCTCAGCACTGTATAAACTAGGCATAGTACCACTATAGTAGTCTATATAGTCCTAGCATTCAGGAAGTAGATTCAGGACTGGAAGTTCAAGGCCATCTTCACCTACATAGTTCAAGGACAGCCTGGGCTATGAAACATGGTCTCAACAAATACACACACACACACACACACACACACCCCTCCCAAAAGGTTCAAAGGCAGGCTATATTTAAGTTATAAAGTTATAACACTGTATGGAATAGTTTCATGTCTTCTTTGCACAAGAGCACACAATATATTTTGTGAAAGGCACAAATAAAATGCTTGAATACAGCTCACAGATAGAACTCTGTCTTTCACCACAAAGCCTTATTCCTTCTCTGTATGATGTGATGTATGCATAGGGCTTTCACTTTTATTCTCTTTTTAAAAATACTTAAATTAGGGGCTAGAGAGATGGCTCAGTGATTAAGAACATTTGCTGTTCTTCCAGAAGACAAGGGTTCAATTCTCAACATTCACATGATAGCTCATAACTGTCTGTTACTCCCAATTCCAGGGGATCTGAAACCTTCACACCATCATGCAAGCAATATGTACATAGAATGAAAATAAATCATTAAAAAGATAAAAATGACAAATAAAAATTTAAAAATATTTAAATTAAAAACAAAACATAGCCAGGCATGGTGGTACACATGTTTAATCCCAGCACTCAGGAGGCAGAAGCAGGCAGGTGTGAGTTCGGGGCAAGCCTGGTCTACAAAGTGAGGATAGGATAGCCAGGACTACACAGAGACACCCTGTCTTGAAAAACCACAAAAACAAAACCAACCCAACCCAAACTCAAACATGGAATCAAGCATGCTGGTGAATTACAAGTTCTGCTTCATAAAACATGGGAATAGGCCCTGGCTTCTAAATAACACTCTCAATTTAACAAGGCCCAAAGTAAAACAGGAGAAAGGTTTAAAGTAATTTCATATGTAAGGGTGGTGGCACGACCAAGCCTCAAAGCTGAATATGAAACCATAGCTGCTTCCGTGGAACAGGTACATATAAGAGGAGTAAGTCAAAACTGACTGGACCCACATGCCTATGTGGTGGCCACAGTTAGCTCTCATTAAGATCCAGTCTTCTTAGATCTTTAGGTTTTATGAGTAACAGACTGGGTAGCACAAATCTTCTTTTAAACATTACTTGACTAATTAGTGAGGTGCCAGGGGTAGGATCTAGAACTTCACACATGTTGGGCAAGTACTGTCTCACTGATCTGTGGTTTCAGGATTCTAATTTTTAAAAAAGTTATTTATTTTATGTATGTGAGTATACTACCTTCAGACACACCAGAAGAGGGCATCAGACCCCATTACAGATGGTTGTGAGTCACCATGTGGTTGCTGGGAACTCATGACCTCTGAAAGAGTAGCCAGTGCTCTTAACCACTGAGCCATCTCTCCAGTCCCCAGGATTCTAATTTTTAAATGCAGATAATTAATTTAAATGTTTAAAAATATAGAGGAATAGTTTGGTTCTTGGAGTAATTAATGATTTACCAATCTGACACTAAAGGATCATTTTAGGGGGACTCTTATAGAGCCTAGGCTGGCCTCAAACCCACTATGTAGCCAAGGAAAGCCTTGAACTCTCGCTTCTACTGCTTTCTCCTCAAGTGTTGGGATCACAGACATGTGCTATCATGCATGGTTTATTCAGTGCTGGACACTGACCTTAGGGATCTGTGCATGCAGGATAATTGCTTTACCAGTAGAGCTTTACCCCAGCCTGAATTGTCATTTCAAAGATTTGTTTGTTTTTGTTCTTTCTTTCTTTTTGTTTGTTTGTTTGTTTTGTTTTTTTCGAGACAGGGTTTCTCTGTGTAGCCCAGGCTGTCCTGGAACTCACTCTGTAGACCAGGCTGGCCTCGAACTCAGAAATCCGCTTGCCTCTGCCTCCCAAGTGCTGGGATTAAAGGCATGCACTACCACCACCCAGCTATTATGCTTGTTTTGACAAAGAAATTAAACTGTATTTAAAGCAAAGCTCTGAGCTACTGGTGGTTTTTAAGGGAATCAGTAATCTACTTCCAGAAAGTCAGAGGGAGCTTCATCTGGTGACACATGGCTATAATTCCAGTTGCTTAGGAGACTGAAGCAAAAAAACAAAACAAAACAACAAACAAACAAACAACAAAACAAACAAACAAATAAAAAACCCGATGAGTTCCATGCTTTCCTGGGCTACAGAGGGAGACTAAGATCAGCCCAGTCCAAGTATGTAGAAGTGTGAGGGTTTTATTTTCCTTAAAGATTTATTTATTTATTATGTATACGGTGTTCTGCCTGCATGTATACCTGCGAGCCAGAAGAGGGCATCAGATCCCATTACAGATGGTTGTGAGCCACCATGTGGCTGCTGGGAATCGAACTCAGGACCTCTGGAAGAGCAGTCAGTGCTCTTAACTACTGAGCCATCTTTCCAGGCTAGTAGTATGAAATTTTAATCCCAGTACCCAAGAGGCAGAGGCAGATGCAGACAGATCTCTGTGAGTTCAGAGTCTGCCTGGAGTATATAAAAAGTTCCAGGCTGGCCAGGGCTACACAGTAAGATTCCATCTTAAAAATCAGCTTGGGTAACTTAATGGAATCCTGTATTAAAATAAAAACAAGGGTTAGGGCTATAGCCCCATGGTTAAGCACCTGCCTGTCATACACTACACTCTAGGTTAAGAAAAAAAGTCACAGGGTTAGCAGCATTTTAGTATCTGTCTTTTTGAGGTAATTATGAAAGAGCTTAAGAGAAAATGAAAGATTAAATGAGTGTTTCTTGACAATATTTTCAACTTATAATTCTATATCTGATTTAGTGGACTAATTGTTATTTACAAGTTTAAACAAATTAGCAGATACTAGGGAAAGAACGATAGGTAAAATGCATATTTTCCCTCACTGGATTTAATCATTGTGTGTGTGTGTGTGTGTGTGTGTGTGTGTGTGTGTGTGTGTGTACATCCACATGGGTTATATGCACATGTATATGCATATGGATCTATGTGGTTGTGGAGGCCAGAGGAAAAAGTCCTTCTTTATCTCCATCCTATTTCCTTTCGACAGAGTCTCTTGCTGATGGCCAGCAAGCCTCGGGGATCCTTCTGTCTTCACCCATGCCTGGCTTTTGACATGGGTGCTGGGATTTAAGTGCACATGCTTGTACACAAAGTATTGTCACCCATCTCTCCAGCCCCTTTCATCACATCTTTTTCATTGCTGGGAACTGAACTTAAGACCTCACATGGCTGGGCAAGCACTCTATCACTGATCCCAGCCTGCTAATCAGACTTTTCAAAGATGTCTTTCCACTGGGGAAAACAGTCCTGAAATAAACATGAAATTTTAAAGTAGACGAAATTAAGGCAGTGTCCTAAGTTCATGACACAACTAGAAAAGAATATTACTATGATATGTTCAAAGGTAAGGGCTTTCTTTACCTTTGAGGATTGCTGGTCCTTCTGCTTGGCTTTAGAGCCAAAGGTGTTCTCCAGTACACCTGTAGCTTAGAATTATTTTAAGTCATCCCTTTGGGGTTTTTTTTTCAATTATTTATTTTAATGTATGAGTGCTCTACTGCAATATATATCCACCTGCCTGAAGAGGGCAGCAGATCCCATTACAGATGGTTGTGAGCCACCGTGTGGTTGCTGGGAATTGAACTCATGACTTTTGGAAGAGCAGCCAGTGCTCTTAACTGCTGAGTCATCTCACCAGCCCCTTTCTTACCCCCCCTTTTTAAAGTAATCCATATATATTTAAATATATAAATTAAATTGCATTTATTGCAAATGGTGCAAACTCATATTAAGTAATAAAGTATTGATAAAGGCTGAACAAGAGACTTACTCTCTCTTTCCAGAATTTCTTTAGCATTAAAATGAAGACAGCATTGTTCTGGGAGTTAAATAAATTATGGAAACAGTTCTAATACATAATAAGTGTCCAATAAATGTCAGCTCTTTTTATTGTCACATAATAGGCTGGTTATACTTACTCTTTTGTTGAGACAAATAACGGGCCACAGGCTGCACCCCAGGGTACAGCAGCAGCAGAGACATCCACACAGCAGCCATTTCACATTGACAGGGAGAGCCTTTTTCAAGCATGAGTTCACACGGCCAATGCTGGTCTTAAATTCTTCTGGAGCCACCTAAAATAGGGGGACTCTCTATAAGAGTTTGTGGACAGCTCCCTACTACCGTGAATGCTAAGGAAAATGCCTTATTACAAACATTTCCATGTCTCAATATATTCTCTCCATAAATCTGTATCATATATTCTTGGAAAACTTAGTGAGTAAAGCAATACAATTTCATGCTTGAAGAACTTCGCATAATATTCACAATGCTCTGAAATGACCAACAATAAACTATTAGGAAAGGAAACCCATCAAGTACTTTTGATAGCAAACATTCTTGTTAAGGCAATGGTGCTCGCAGTCTTCATGTACCCTGACTCAAAGCTGGGTTATGGTTAGAAGCCTAAGAAAAGACAAAAAGCCAAACAACTAACCAGAGGAAATGGAATTAAAACAGGCATTGATAATAATCCCCAATTACTTTGAAATAAAGTCTCTTAATACTTTTTCTTTCTGGCAAATCTGTAATACAATAGTTAAACTTGCTGCTGTTTGCAGGGAAATACATTAGCAACAACAACAACAAAAAACAGTACCTGGTAATTATATTTAAAGCTATCTGTTAGTATTCAGCATGCATCAGACTCATAATCACTCTGAGTTTTGAAGGTTGAAAAGTCTTTACACAAATTTCATATTACTAGTTAATTACCTTTGTTCCTGGAAGTAGTTGCTTGTGCTTCTCTATAAACAATGACAAAGTCCATTCAAAAGCATGAGTATGACCCACGTAAGTTAAGATTTGCACCAAAAATTCTCCTTTCAAGTTACATGAGTCAAAGGAAGACTGAAAATAGTATGCTTTCAGTAAAATCATGTTTCTGGATCACCAAGATGATACTATGCCATTTAGAAAGTGAGCAGATGGAACATTCACGGGAAAAATTTCAGCATCTGGTTGTAAATGTTGGTAAAAAGATTAACTACTGTAAAATAAAAGCTACACGATGATGCGTGACATCACAAATCTAAAAGCTTCCCTCTTCACACATTTTGTACTTTTTACTTTTAATTAATGGGATGACTTAGAATCCACACAAACATAGGTAACAGCGGATACTACAAAGGTTCAGGTGAGCACTATAACGATGAAAACAGTAAGTAGATAAGTTTATTAGAATTGTTTGCGTCACCTGTAAGTTAATTACTGAGTCCACAAACTGGCTATTCTTGCTAACAGTGACCAGTTTTGAAGCTGTAGATCTTAAAATGTAGTTTATACAGGGAAAATGAACTCCATTCTCTGTCTACACTGCTAACAGCATGATACAGCGGCAGTCACTGGGCACCAAGAATTCCAATGAAGTGACATTTCTGGGGGTAAACATAAAACTAAATTGAGAGAATCATGCTTTATAATTGAAATCATAAAACATTTTAAAGCTAAATCAGGAGACTTGCTTCTACTTCTTGTTATGTCTGGGAAAAACCACAGATAAAATCATTTAATTTTTAAAAAATGATTTACTTATTTATGTATAGTGTTCTGCCTGCATGTATGCCTGTAGGCCAGAAGAGGGCACCAGATCTCACTAAAAATGGTCATGAGTCACCACATGGTTGCTAGGAATTGAATTCAGGACCTCTGGAAGAACAGCTAGTGCTATTAGCTACTGAGCCATCTCCCCATCTCCCCCCATCTCCTTTTTTAAAATCAAGACAGGGTTTCTCTGTAGAGACTTCGGTGTCCTGGAACTCTGTATACCAGGCTTGTCCTTGAACTCACAGAGTGAGTTCACCTGCCTCAGTGTTCCAAATGCTGGGATTAAAACTCTGTACTACTACCAACTAGCTAAGACCAGCTCGTTTAATTTTTCTTAATTACAATTCCTCATATATAAGGTGAAATGGTATAGTTTATGTTTTAATTAATTGTATTGTATTGTATTAATTAATGTATTTTATTTCTGTCTGCATGTATGCTTACAGGCCAGAAGAGGGCATCAGGGTCACATTATATAGAGCCATGTGGTTGCTGGGGCTTGAACTCAAGACCTCTTGGAGAGCAGCCAGTACTCTTAACTACTGAGCCATCTCTCCAGTCCTGATATAGACACTGGAAATCAAAGTTCCAACTTGGAAGGAATTTCTTACCTAGAATACTTTGGAATTAAAAGTCTATAAAGTACATCTCAGATGTAGATAGAGATGGAAAGTTGTCTGTGTTCTCTGAAGGCAAAGGAATTGATCAGATGCACACAGAAGGCCTCAGTTTTCTTACACATCGATTCCAAACAAAAGGATAATCTGCCATGTGTTGAGGGAAACCTCAATGGTTTCCAGGTCTTGAGTTTCTCAGAGGTATTCCTTTCTTCTGCTTCCTTCCTCCCCCTCCCCCTTTTTTTTTTCCTCAGAACCAGGGCTGGAAGCCAGGGGCTAGCCCATGGTAAGCAGGTGTCTTACCCGTTATTCCCCCTGCAGTCCTTTGCTGTTCTTAAAAAAAAAAATAAGGTGCCAAGTTACTGTGTAAAGATTTATGTGTCCTAAAGAGGAACATTTAACTTCTGTTTCATTGCAGGGAATCACCAAGTAACAGTTAAAGATAGTTTCTATCTCACGGGACTTTTCAGCACAGCCTTCTACCTGAGCTAAGGACATACAGAATTTTGTGAGGGGCCAGACTTCTCTGTCCCCTCTTCTGTCATGACTGTGTAACATTGGTTCCTCCTATGAACAGGCTGTAATTCTTTTCCTTTTGTTAGAAAAAAAAAATCTCGAGAATAAATGGAGTAACAACTATAAAGCTGCTTAGCACAATGCCTAGCAGACATTAGGCACTCAGAAAATGCACTATTGTCCATATCTCCTGGTAAGACTGCAGGCAAAAGAAGCGTATTGTGTTCTTTAAGCACTTAAGCGCTGTTGGCTTGACAATGTGTACACTTTCTAAAAACAGGAGCCTTTACCTCACTGCCTGAGAGTGCTTAGAGAACAGCTTTTTCCTACTATCTTATGTTTTATTCCTCTCTCTCTCTAAAAAAAATTCTACTGGATATAACTGTAGTCACTTTAGAATGCAGGCAATTCTGTTTTTTTTTTTTTTAAAGAAAAAAACCAGAATTTCATATTGTGACAAGAACTTAAAAACACCTTCTCTATCTCAGACGAATATAATTTTAATTTTAGAATGGTTATTCAGTGAAGGCTTACTCAGTTTGTCACCTTAAGCTTGCCCCCACAGGCCAGAGACCTTTTGTGTTCTCATGAACACACCTGCACCAGCAGCATGGAAGCACATCCATCCCAGTTGTTTGGATAACTGTAACTCTGGTGTCTTCGCCATTTTCTAAACCTGACTTCCAGCTGTTATTCTCAGGGACCACTTTGCAGTACAAGGAGATAATCTACAGTGTTGCCTATTTTGAGCTTTGCTTATTTAGAAAATATATGTTACATTTATTTATCTATCTGTGTATGTGACTATATAGGACACCCTGCAAGAGAGTCAGTTATATCCACTCTCAAGATCCAGCTCAGGCTGTCCAGCTTGCTGGCAAGCACCTTTTACTCACTCAGCTATCTTGCCAACCTTGAAAGGAGTTTTCAAAAAGTTTGTGATCATGATTGAAACTTTTATTTAAAAGCAAGCATATAAGTACAGATAAGAAAATTAGAAGTAAAGAGATAGAAATGAATCTACCCAAAAGAACAAAACCGTGTATAAGGGTTCTTAAAAAAATAAAGTTTCTTTTTAGCAGGGAAGAACAGTGTTAGAAGGCTGAGGGAAGGGAAAGCTGGCTTTCAACCTGAAATGTGAATAAAAGCAATTACATACATACCATAGCATATCCTACATGCGGTTTGTTAGGAAACTTTCATTACACATTTCAGAAAATGAAAATACCAACCCACTACCACAAATTTAGCAATTTTCCTTTTCAACAGTCTACTTTTTAAACAAATACTCTCTTACTACTGACAAACTAAAATTCAAATGTTCAAGTTATTAGAAATGAGAAATCAAAATTTGGGTCATAAGACAAGCATATTGAGAAGAAAAACTTTCACTAGAGTCTTAAATCTAGTTGCATCTTAAAAATGCAACTAGAGTCTGCATTGACTTTAAAAAGATGCCAGGACTGGGTTTGGGAAAAAAACATATTTGAGTAAGAGTATAAGTCATAAAACAGAGCTAGGGAATGAGAATTGACTAACTCTCAACTTTACAGATAGAGAGAAATGTTTGGTTAACTAGAGATTCCCAGTTATTCCAGCTGCACTCATTTGCTTCTAGACAACGATTTCTAGTATTAAGTCGGCTGGGAGCCTCTGACTTTCTAGTTCGACACTAGGCTGTAAAGAAACATTTCATTCCTTTTGACTCTCTTGCAAAGAAAAAAGAAAACAACATCAGGAAGGTGGGAGAAAGGGTCATAATATTTTATAACAGGATGCAGGAGACTCTGCAAACAGACTAAAAGTAAAGCAAAGCCCAGCAGGACTGATTTGCCTCCCTCATTGTGAGGAACACAAGCCTATCAATCACTTGTCATATTGGATCACAATAGAAGGGGGGGGGTCAATTTTTATGGCTTCCCATTCCTAACACTACATAATGCTCTCCCCATAATGCCCTTTGCTACTTTCAAGCTGAGGACTAGACACTCTGATTTCCTTTTGAAAACTTAATGTGGGTCTTTCACTTTCTGGTCACCAGAATCTATCTGTGGGTGTATCAACACACTTATCTACATGATTTGTCCTATGATGGCAGAAGAACTCACTGTTCTACACTTATAAGAATTAACACGAAAGAAGCAAAAGGTTAATAGTGAGTTGTGGAGTTTCTGAAATGGCTTTTTAGCTAGTCACTGCAATTTTGTTTACCTCAAATTAACTACTTAGAATATCTCACTCATGCCAAAAGACTGATTTTTTTTAAATAAAAAATAATTATTTTCTGTTAGGCATTAGAGTTATCCATTTTAAGACAATTTACACAAGGAATATTAAGTTGGGAATTAAGACCTTTTAATTTAATTTTTTCCTATTCCGTTTTTTCCCCCTTACTACAAAAATGGTTTAATAATCCATACTAATCTATACTAATGGAATAGTATCTACTTGAGAAAAAGATTCTCATTAAAGAAATAAAACTTGTATTTATGTTATAAACATGCAACGTTAAAAACCAGACCTTCAGGAACTAGAACTAAAGCTCAGTGGTGGAGTACACACTTAGTGCGAGCAAGGCATTGGGCTTGATCCACAGCAACAAAGCCAACAGCAGATGTTCGCAATCATTTGTAGTGCTTCTCTCATTGTCAAACACATAGTAAGAACGTGTTGTACTATCACATTCATCATTTCAGGAGAAAATGCATATGATACAAATAACAAATACTTGAATGTATATGTACTATAAAAATAATCACCTGAAAAGAATACGTTTTTAGCCAGGCATGATGACTCATGCTTGTAATCAGAACAATTAGAGAGCTGAGGCAGGGGGACTGCCACAAGTTTGAGACCAGCTTGCATTCTATAATGAGTTCCAGGCCAGCTTGGGGTACATAACAAAATTCTGTTTCTAAAAAGAAAAGCAGATAGATTTAAAAGGAGGAGGAGGAGAAAGAGGAGGAAGGAGGGATGTTTTCAAGAACAGCTTCCATCCAGACCATCAAAAGCAGCTTACCACTCTTACAACTCCAATTTCAAAACGTCCTAGTATCTTTTGGGTCAATAGAATTTTTAGTTGCACAAAATGTGGAAAGGAATAAAGATATGTGAAAAGATATTCAAAAGATTACTTCAGCACAATAATGGCTAATTAAAAAATGGATAATGCTTACGCCTAGGAGCTATATTTACTGACAGTTTAAAAGATATTCATTTTCTACAGCTCCAACTTTAAATATGTAAAAAAATTAAGTTAGTATTCAAGTTGTATGTAATTTCCCAGTCAAAACATGCAGTAGCATTAATGGAAATGGAAATAAATTCTCTATTGAAGATGTTTTGTTTTACATTTTTCTTTTAGTGTTAAATCTACCATGTTCTTACCAATATTATTATTAAAGAGATATTTCCATGTTTAATTTTATACATTTAAAGGGAATGTTTACTATTAATCTTTATAGGACACATCTAAGTTTAAGCTGTTGCTGCACTTGAAGAATTCTGAATGATTGTTTAGGAAAGGGAGGTAGAACCTCTTAGAAACAAAAGCCAAAAATTTACACAAAGAGATATTCTCTCCCCCTCTGTGTGCAAGTGTGGAGGCCAGAGATCGACTTCAGGTGTCTTTGAAGTTCTATCATACTGTGCCTTATTTTTGAGGCAGGGTCTCCCACCAAACAGGGACTCATCATTTCTGCTAGACTAACTGGCCAGAGCATGTCCCCTAGGATCTGTCTGTCTTCACTATCCAGCACTGGAGTACAGTTGCCTCTCATTGTACTTGGCATTTATATGGGTGTTGGGCATCTGAATTCAGGTTTTCAAGCTTGCATAACAAGCACTGTTTGCCCACGGGGCCATCTTCCCAACCTGAAAGTTAGGATTTCTGTAAGACAATTGTTTTAAATATAGTACTTTAACAAAGGTAATATTTCAAGTGTACAACATATTGGTGCTTTTTGTTTGTTCTTTGTTTGTTTACTTATTTATTTATTTGAGACAAGTTCTAGCTATGTAACACAAGCCAGTCTGGAACTTAGGGTCCTCTTGAATGCTAGTGCTGGGTTTATGGACCTATGCCATTTCAACAGCTCAACATGATATTTTAATATACATATGCACACATAGTGAAATGATTACTACAGTCAAGCAAGTTAACATATCTCCTTACATAGTTATTTATCATTTCTTTTAGAGAACCAGAAATCTGTTCATTTGGTGAATTTTCAGCATATAACACAATATTATTTATAACCACCATACAGTACATTAACCTAGATTTATACGCTTGAGTCCTGGGAAGTCTGAATTTTGAGTATGAATGCTTGTCTATACAACTGAATAAAGAGAAACCCAGAAATTGAAAGGTAGTTACTTATTGCTATGAGTTCAATTTTAGAAACTCAATCTAAAAGGAAGAAAAACATTTAACCAAAAAATGATGCTTTTTATTTGTAATAAATGATGTATACTTTAAAAAAATAATAGTGACTCAGTAAAAAAGATAACTTTAGCAATGAAAAGATTGGAAATTATAGATCTAAATGAAAACAATTATAGCTACCTGTGCTGGTCAAAAAAGCCAACACTGGAAAAGCTGAGAGGTAAATAAACAATGGCTGACATTAAGGAAGAACAGATGAAATAGCTGGCCAGAGGCTGGTAGTCATGGAAACACCATTTAGTCACTGTGCACACAGCTTCCAAGTAGGGAGGCCTCCTGTTATTTGGCTTCATTACCAGTGAGTCAAAGCATTTGTCATAACATTGAATAAACCATAACACAGTGCATTAGAATTGGAAAATTCAAAGCAAACCCACTTACCTTCCCTGTCAGAACTGATGGAAATTCCGTATCAAACTTGTTGCTCAATCCAAACCTTAAAAACAAAGATAGAACAAAATGTATTCTATTCAGCATATTTAACCCTTTCTCAAAATAAGTTTTAAACCCTTGGGGATTTTCTTTTGGTCTTCAGATTTAAATAATTGTGCCCTGAATATTTACAACTTTATGATGTATGTGCCAGTTAAAACCAAACTTAATGAATTAAAAATCCATACATAAGTCCTAAAAATAACATTATTTTCTTAAAAATCCATTAAATCCAACAGATAGGTTCTGAATAAAACTTTATAGGTGGATCTCTGAGTTTGAGGCCAGACTGGTTTACAGAACGAGTTCCAGGACGGCCAGGGTGACATAAACAAACTGTCTTGAAAGACCAAAACCCCAAACCAAACAAACAAAAAGCTGGGGAGTGGTGGTGCACTCAGTGTTTAATCCCAGCACTTGGGAGGCAGAGAAAGGTGGATCTCTTTGAGTTCGAGGCCACCCTGGTCTACAGAGTGAGTTCAAGGACAGCCAGTGTTACACAGAGAGACCCTGTCTCAAAAAACCAAACCAACAAAAACCAAACCAAACCAAACCAAAGACTATGGAAAGTAAAAGTATACTTCCTTTTCCATTTTTAATATTTTGGAAGAGGATTCATTTTTACTTATATTAAAAAGAATAGAAACTATTGTTAATTTGTAGTTTTCACTACTTCTTAACTAGATGGGAACTTGACTTTAGGCAAATTATTTATTTAATTGATTTTTAAAATGTTTCTGTGTGCTAGGATTAAAAGCATGTGCCACCACGAATACCAGTTTCCTTGTCCCCAAAATGGGGATAACAATACTTTTCTTGGAGGCCATTTACAGTTTGAAGTAATACAGTTACTTAGCAGTGTAGCCTGGGAAGCTGGAGTTAACAGTGTCTGTCCCTTGCTACTGCTTTCCTTTCATGGTGTTCTCAATGCTAGTTTACTTTGGTTTCTGCTCACCCATCACTTGAGTACTGGGAGTTGGATGTGAACTTCATTCTAACCACTACTTTCTGAAATATATGTAGTGAACCCTACAGTAGGGAAAAGTCCTCTGTAAGAGCAACAAGTGCTCTTAACTACTGAGCTATCTCTGCAGCCCCCAGTTCCTTATATTAGAATGGCATAGTATTTGCATGTAGCCCATATACAATCTCCTGTATTCTTTAAATCATCCTAGTAATAGCTAATACAACTGCTTTGCAAATCATTGCTATACTGTGTTGTTTATAGAATTATGATAAGAGAAAGTCTATGCATGATCAATGTAGATGGTGATTTTTTTTTTCAGATAGTTTTGATCTGCAAATGGTTGGATTTGTGCAAAACCTGTGAGTATGGTGTGAACTGTTTATCTATACCATAAAATATAAAGAAGCTGGCATAGTAGCACATGCCTGTAATCCCAGGATGAGGCAAGAGGATAGTGAGTTCAAGGCCAACCTGGACAATATATCAAGAATCTTTCTCAAAAATCAAACAACAAAGCATACTAAAAAGCAAACAAGGCCCATTATCTCATAATTTTGGCTAACAAGGAATAGGTATCCTCTTCTCATTTACCAGGGATTTCTTTTTCATTGTTTTTTTGTTAACACTGAAGATATAAAAAGAGTGCTGACTTTCAATTCTGAGGGTTTCACTTAGTAGCTACAACTATAATATTGAAATAGCTGCTAGCAAATGAACATCTTTTCTCTGTTTCATAAGCAAACTATGAAGTTAAGAACTATGGCTACACAGAAGTTATACAAATGTGTCTATTCATTACTCTTAGCCAAGATGTGGCAGTCTTCAGCATTAGACAAAGAGGCACTTGGGAACTATTCATAAAGTCATTTTATTGATGTTATTAAATATAGAGTCTATTATGTGTTTGAAGTTGACCAAGCTGGTGGTTGTCAATGATTGAATTCTCTTTAAGTGTTTTTAATGCCCTTTCATCTTAATTTCTTGAAACAATTCTTTGGATGATAGGAAATGGAGGCAAAGAAGGATGCATCCTTTCCTTACTTTACCCTGCCTCCTTATGTCCCTTGCTTTCCATGCTTGTAAAGATGATTATTCTTAACCATTTAAACCTTGCATAAATGAATGTTCATATGCTCAGGTTAAGAATCAGTACATAGGGGCTGGAGAGATGGCTCAGTGGTTAAGAGCACTGACTGTTCTTCCAGAGGTCCTGAGTTCAAATCTCAGCAACCACATGGTGGCTCACAACCATCTGTAATGAGATCTGATGCCCTCTTTTGGTGTATCTGAAGACAGCTACAGTGTATTCATATATAATAAATAAATAAATCTTTTAAAAAAAGAAAAGAAAATTAAAAAAAAAGAATCAGTACATATAAAGTCTTGTAACAAGAACCACAATTTTGCTAGAAAACCATGTACTTAATAATACTGATTTAAAGTACATGTAGTAAACTCTACTGTACTTACGAAAAGGAACATTATACCCTAGAATACAGAGGCTTTGTTCTGTTTTGTTTGTTTTTAGATTCTACTTAGATCTCCTTACTCTTTCTTAGCAAACTACACAATGGCTTAAAGCCTTGTAAAATAGTTATCTGATTGTTTTCAGTGTTGGGGACTGAACAGGGGCCTTACGCATACTCATCAAGTCCTCTGAGTCCATAAAGTTAAACTACCAGTATGTTACTGTTATCTCTCAGTGACAGGTAACAAAATGGTATGACATTCTCTAATCTGAGAAGTGTCTCTAAATTGGTTTAGAAACTAGTTTGTAAATTTAACCATGTAATTTGTTTTGGTTCTATATCTAATGAGATTCCCTAAAAACCGGCAATCCAGGAATTATCTCAGCTAACTTCTATATAGATACTCTAACAAGGGCAGACATACACACATTTTAAGTAACAAGAGTATGGCCACATTTAAAAACACAAGGGAAAAAAAATCTCATTGGTCTGTATTTCAATACACCATGCCCTGATACTTATCCTTAAAAAAAAAGAAGAAAAATATGTCACATAAATAGCATTTTTGAAACATTTCATACTTGCAAGTGACAGTCATCATTTTGTTTCTATAGTCTCAAACCTATGGGATTTAATTTAGTAATACATTTTTTTAAAGACAGGGTCTCACTATATAGACCAAGCTGGCCTCTAACTCACAGCAATAAACACTTGCCTTTGCCTCCTGGGCTGGGATTAAAGCTGTTCATCACCACATCCTGGCTTCACTTTGCTTCTCAGGACATTGTAACTAATTTCATGTTAAAATTCATATTCTGTTAAAATAACTAAAAGGCCACAACATTAAGATGGTAAAAGTAAATTGGAATTCTCTGGCCCACAGGTAAGCTTAACAAAGCTTTATAGAGGGACGGTGATATGATGATCCCTCATCACTAGGATCATGGTCACAGCTATGTCAAGTCCTCTTCATAGCACTTGTTGAGGGCCTGTAATAAGTCTGTACAACAATGGACATAGACTATCACTAAAATGAACCAATGTTCACTGAATGTACTTAAACAGGGATTATGATAGGCACTGAAGATTCATAGGGAATGAAAGATTGTTCTTGCTGTTGTAGCTTACAATTTAGTGAGGGCAAAGAAGGCTGACAGAAAATGGTAACATTTGGATAGTTTAGGTGAGGGGAGGTGTGGATTGGCATTTAAAATGGAGGCACTAACTCGAACAGACACATAAGAAATAGCAGGCTACGATGAGTAGCATCCAAGCAGCAAAGGAAATAGAAAGAGATGACAGAAGACAGGTTAGGTCCAATTCTGGATGCCACGTTCCAGAGCTTGGACTCTATCCTGATAAAGATGGAGAAACTAGACTAATCTTAAGCAAGAGAGTAGATCAACTAGATCTGTACTTCTGGTATTTTAATCAAGCAACAGGCTGAAGGATAGATGTCAGAGTGACAAGGATAGAAGTAAGACAACTAGTTAGGGTGGAAACAGAGGCCCGAATCAGAGAAGTGGCACTCAAGACGAAAACAAGCAAATCTAAGTCCTATATAAATCATTTTTTGATACTTAGCTTTGGGAAATGTGAAAATAAAAGGGAGGTAACAGGAGGTACACTCAACTAAAATGGAGAATAGAGAACAATAAGGCACATTTGAGAGTGAAGTAGTCCAGGTAAAAGCCTGAGCAGTATCTGGTACAGAGATACATACTTGGAAACACTGAATTACTAGACCACGAGAATCAAGAAGAGACCATTTAAGATGTATAGACAGTAAGAGTAGAGGGCTAAGCACAAAATTCTGAAGATCACTGGTATTTAAGAAGCAAGACAGGAAGAAGACTGTGAATGAAAAATATACACCAGGGAAGCACTGTATTATAAAACTATACATACTACCAGTGTCTGATCATGGTGATCCCAATTGAGGCCAGATTCTTCACAGGTAAGGTGGCAGAACCCAGACGAGGGGAAGTAAATATGACACATGTAGGTACTTTTAAAAAATTTGGTGAAGAGAGATTAGATAGCAGCTAAAAGGGATATGGGTATCAGAAGGTTTTTGTCATAGAAGGACTGTATATAATTACAGGACAATATAGACTCTAGATTCTAGGGAGAATCAAAGTGAGGCACTATTGGAGCCAGAGGCTAACTTATGGAACAAGACCTTGGGAGGAGGCTAGAAGAGAAGAGTATCAAAAGCAGAAGAGAAGAGATGAGTTTTGGATAAGGAACTCCTTGAATTGCAATGTTGGGAGAACTCAGATCTAATAAAGAGCCAATGCAGGTTTGCAGCAGTACATGACATGATTAAATGGAATTTTAAGAAAATTAGTTTGGCACAAGCACACACAATGAAGTAGGGAGAGGCAGCAGACTGTGCCTATAATTCATGAAGGGGATGGCAACTCAAACAAGAGTATTGCCAAATAGGAACAGAGAAAATGAAAAATCTAAACAAATTTCCAAATATATGATGATACAATTCTGGGAAAATTGGACATAGGGCAAGTCAAGGAGAAAGTCAAAATGACTCAAACATTTAAAATATTACCCTGGGAGAGTAGAATTTTGGTGTTACCACTGCAAGTGTGGCAACTAGAAATACAGCCCATCTTGGGAGGGAAAATGTTGAGTGTAAGATATACTGAGGTAGAATCAGGTTAAACATATTTATTATCTTAAATACTTATGTCTTAATCATGGTAAAAAGCTACAAAATACTTCCCTCTTTTAAAACAGCCAGTTAATGGTGACACCTTTCAAATTTTAAACTTTGAATAGAAGGAAAATCTTCTATAGAGGGGGACTGAACAGAGGATAGGAAAAGGCCAGAATGCAGGAGAAGAAGAAATAGTTCACTCACATTGGTATAGGGCCAGGGTTGTAGCTCAGTGATACAGCACTTGCCTGGATGCACAATGCTGTAGTTTGAGTTTCGTCACCACAAAACCCAAGAAAACCAATATAACATATAGTTTAGAGCAATCTACACATGCCTATGCCAGAAAAAAATGAAACAAAAATTGATATTTTAGATGTATTAGTTTCAGATTATTTGTTCAGGATTTTGCTTCATTTGATAGATGGAAGGTTCTGTTATTATATAGTTCATGTCTCTGATACCAAACAAACATTTTATTAACAACAGGGTCTCACTCTGTAGCCCATGCTGGCCTGGAACTCATGTGACCCAGGCTGGCCTTGAACTCATGGCACTCTGTTTTAATTTACCAAATGAGAGTGTATCACAAGCACGAACCACTATGTCTGGCTTCTAAACATTTAATCTTCTTAAAATGTTAGATATTTAGCATCAAATGTTCTTCCTAAATGAGAAAATGTATACAATAAAGCTAAACAATTTTCACGTTTAGTGACTTAAATACTGGCTTATGCTTTTCAGAGTTTTTTTCAAGTAATCAATACCGAGATACTATCAGTGCTATCCCTTTACACCTAACTCCAGAATTTTAAATCTCTCAATCTCTCTCTCAATCTCTCTCTCTCTCTCTCTCTCTCTCTCTCTCTCTGTGTGTGTGTGTGTGTGTGTGTGTGTGTATGTGTATGTGTATGTGGTGACAGCAGAAAATTATACCTATAAGGGGCTAGCCATGGCAAATCTCAGTGCTCTGTTTTAAATGAAAAAATGGAAACTGGTTGTGTGGAGAATAGAATGGAGTCACAAGGAAGCTCTAGAGAACTTAAATTGTGCTTCCTTGCTATGTACTCAGTGCTTGAATTGTAGAAAACAATGGGGGGAGTTGGAAGATAAAATTATGGGTCAGTATAGAAAATACCTTTTCTCTGTTTGGTCATGGAAAGTGATCTGCATAAAAGAAGCCAGGAAAATGAGGCGGCAAGTGTGGGGGGCATAATGGTGTTTTAGAGTTTCATGGAATTAAAAACAAAACAAAAAAGAAGCCTGGATACCAGAATCATAATTAGTTTGAATAAAGGTCTCCCTAGTGACAAAAGGAATGGAAGGAAAACAGTGCAGGAAGTTGGCGCCTGAACATTACAGGCTATCTGCAAAAATCTTGGATTGAAAAAAAAAAAAAAGCCTGTCTTCAAATTACCTAATAAAAAAAATAAGGCCTAAAAGTCTCCTCCAAAGCCTTCCACAACCGACAAACATTTGGTAATACATTCATTCAATGATTTAAAAAGTATATTATAGTCAAAATAGCTAACATGTTAAAAATTAAAATATAACATGATGAAGGAGTTGGTATACACACTGTATGATTTCATAAAGCACTCAGTTGAGTCAAAGGGATTGCGTGAGCCATGATAAAAATTAAAGATAGACTGACTTGATAGGCAGAACAAATGTATTTTGAGAATGCAGTAAAAGACACCACAGTCAAGAGCATGAACATGACACCATATTCAAAATTTCAAGTATGTGCAATCCAAGCAATAAAAATGAGGAAACACTCTTCAAAGGCCAGTGATCATTTTTTTTTTTTTACTGTGCAACCAAGATGATATGAAGTCCTTGCACACTTTATTTTCTCAAATAGGATTCAATGTAAAAGAAGCCATTTGGGTTGAGTTTTAAAGAAATTATCCTCAATTCATTAAGGGCTAATTACTATTTACTTAATATTTGTATATTTAATGTCTGGACACACAGGATCTCCTGTAGACATCTTCAATTACTTCAGAGCCAAAGGGGCTTAGAAACCATGCACTCAAACCCCTTTATTTTGGAGATGAGAAACCCAAGGCCTGGAAGTAAGAATCAACTGACCAAGGTCACAGGGCCAGTAAGAAGGGAAACTGAGATTAGCAACCAATCTCTTACTCTGTATCCATCGATCTTTCTACTTTGCATAGGTTCCTATTAACCTGAACCTCTAAGGATTTGATATTAAAGGAACGTCAGAGTAGTGCATTCAACAGAGAAAAGATGACGCTATTCATTCATATAAGCATTGGGTAGGAAGAATGGATGGATAAATATGTGGGTGGATGAATACTTATATTATGCACAAAAATGCATCACATTTTGTTTTGTTTTTGAAGAACCCAAACCTAGATCTTGTCACCTGTCACAGCAGACGTTTTCCACTAGCCATCAATCTTGGCAGCAGAGAAGCCTAGTACATCCTGCAGTTTAGAGGCTATTCACTTGCTAGCACACGAACAAGCAGATCACCCCTACTCCAGTGTCACTGGCTCTCTACCCCGCAACTCCATGTCCTCCGTTCACTCTTTCCTGGGGTCGAGGCAGCGTTATCCCCCCCGCCCCCACCTTCTTTTACACGACACCTATTCAACCTGCGGTTTTGCCATTTAGACCAGGTGCCCTTTGCTAACAGTACGCTTTAGTCAGCCCTCCCCCACTCCGCAGGCCCCTCAATGCCCTTCTCATTCGTCTGTCGTCAAATCTCAGCCTCTGCAAGCCCCCCATCCCAATCGCTTACACAGTGATGTGGCCGGCGCCGCGCACCAACACAGGGTCTGGGGCATATCTCCGCAGATGCTCCTCGCTCACTACCCGAGGCGGGGGCGGCACCTCCTCCTCCTCCTCTTCTTCCTCGTCCTCCTCCTCTTCATCCTCCTCTTCTTCCTCCTCATCTTCCTCGTCCTCATCAGGCCCAGATACCGACGACGACGACGACGACGACGACGACGGAGACGACGAGGATGTTGCTGCCTCTTCTTCTTCCTCCAACTCCGAGATGGTGTCGAACTCCGCCATGTTGGGCAGCAGGATGCTCATCACGTGACCGCGCGATGTTCGCCGCCACTCTCCGGGAGAAGAGTTTGAACCTGCGGAGCTGCTGGGAGAGGAGGGGGAACGGACTGAAGAGAAAGAGGAGGGGGCGGGGAAAGCGCTTGAGGAGACGCGCCTGCGTGTTGGGTAGACAGCGCGGGGGTTGGAGGCGGGGGCATGAGGGACCAGGGAGTAAATTCGGTGTACGCTTGCGCGCCTCCAAGGGGAGGGGGCTGGTAGAGGTGAACTCCAGGGAATTATCGAGGTCCGGTCTGCGGGTGCTGATCTTCATACTGCGTTTCGGACGTCAGTTTCTTGTACACAGGGGACATACATTCTCCTTTTAATGTCTGTTAATTAATGCGGGATATATTTGCCTCTATGCAGACAGTTGAGGGAAAGCAAATTCTATAAAAGAGAGTTTAGGACATTGCCCAAAATATCTCAAGGTACGCATATTTCAATCTCTTACGCAGAGATTGTTCAGTTCTGAGAATAGGGTAAACATTTTTATTAGCGTTTTTCAAAAGAGGAAACTTTCTATTAATTCTTATGCTGAATGGTACTTTGCGGATTTGCTAAGCATCACAGACTCTAAGTGCTTTGTGTACTTATCTCATTTAATCTCCCTACAACCCTATGAGGAGTGTACCACATTGAGCCTCATATCACACAAGGGCAATCTAGATACAAAGAGAATAAATAATTTGTCTAAGGACATGGAACTAGTAAATGATAGATGAACTTTTAAATCTGGAGTCTCTTCTGACTCCCAAAGCCCTGTTCTTTTAGCCAAACAGCCATGGTGCCTAAAGTTGTTTGGAAGGGCTGAGCAAAATGGTGCATGGTTTGCAGTGGGTGTTTTGAAGCCGACATAGTGGCACATAACCTCTAAACCCAGCACTTGGGAGACAGAAGCAGGAGAATCTTTTGAGTAAGGCTAGCCTAGTCTACAGAGCTTGACCTAGGACTGCTAGGGTTACACAGGGAAACCCTGTCTGGAGGTGGAAGGAAGTGGAGGAGGCAGGGAGGGAGTGAAGAAGAGATTGATTGGAGAAGAGGAGCTGGAGAGTGTGTAGAGGGCATGCCAGTTTAGAGACACATTAATTAACATCACCTATTCTACGAACTCCAAGCTATCTTTTTTCAAATACCATAGCTCAGGTAATTCAAACACTCTTGTGAGGTAGGCAACTTTATATGTCTTTTATAGATGAAGAACTGATGGGCTGGAGAGATGGCTCAGCAGTTAAAAGCACTGGCTCTTCCAGAGGGCCCTGGTTTAATTCCCAGCACCCACATGCCAGCTCACAACTGTCTGTAACTCCAGTTCCTCCAGGGAGCTGACACCCTTACATAGACATGTCTGTAGGCAAAATACCGATGTACATGAAGTTAAAAAAATCATTAAAAAAGACGAAGAGTTGAATATCAGAAAATGTAAACAATTCATTCAGGTCTTTAGTGAATTGTTCTCCATTTTTTTCCCCATCCAAACATTCTACCTCATCTCTACATTGCTAAAATACAGAGATCACCTATTTTGAGTTTCTAGGTAATGCATCAACTGGTTCATATCTGGCAGTGGCAATGGATTTTTGCAATTAAAACTATAAAGTTGTGCAGCTGCTCTGTAATAGAATAAATACTCAGGTCCCCTATACTGATACCAGCTTCTCTTCTCCTCTGCTGAAGTAGAGCATCCATTCTGATTAGATGATGTAACTGGGAAAACTTACAGAGTGTGGAATTTAGAATGAGCCTCGTATCAGCAGCATAGTGGTAATAAGCAAAATATTTAGGTGTATGAGGAAGGGAGTAATCTATTATAAGAAAGATTTATCAAAATATCAAGGAATTGGTGTTATTAATATTAAATTTTCCCATTATATTCGATAGCTTGGCTATTTTAGAATTGAAAAGTAAGCTGTAACATTATCTATAAGGAACAAATGTAGCATTTTGTTGTATAAAGAGCTTTTCTTTAACCAGAGATTAGGATAAAAGATAAAATCTTAAAATATTCCATAACAATCGTTGGTTTTCCTGGTGCCATGAAACATATCAATAACAAGAGTGAATGACCCGAGATCAAATTTAATATTCTACGCCCGTTCTTTTTAAGAAGCAAAATAAAATCACAAAGGAGGTTAAATATTTCCCAAATATCTTATGTGTAAAGAAAGAGCCCAGTATTTTGCTGATTACTGCTCTAGTGGTAGCTTCTGCTTTTTATTAGTCTAGGAAGGAATATTTGACAGAAAGGGCAAGGAGTAAGAGCTGGATTTTGTGATGAATGCAAAAAGACATTGAAACGACTGTAAAAGTAGGAGATAGTGGCTAGGGGAGATTGAAGGGAAGAGGGAAAAGAGGGGTAGGGAAATGCTACTGTAAGTTACAAAGTGGAGAGTCTCAAGATGTAATTCAGTTGGTAGAGTGCTTGCTTATCATGTAGGAAAACCCTAGTTCTAATCTCCAGCACAGCATAAACTGGGAATGGTGGTACACACTTGTAATCCCAGAAGCAGGGAGGAGGCAGGAGGCAGGAAGATCAGAAGTTCAAGTTCATCCTCGGCTATATAGTAAGCAGGTCAGTCTAGGACACTGAGACACTATCTCAAACAAAGTAAAACAAACTAAATAATTTGGAAAGAGGTCACTGATGTTTAGTCAGAAGTCAAAAGGACAAAGTAGTTTAGAGGAGTGCTACACTTGGCCAAGTGTGCAAGCACAGTCAGATCAGTTCATCTGTTTTCCAGCATGCTGTGCTGAAGAAGCAGATGTGGTTACAAAGGTAATCAGTTCTGCTGAACAACAGGAGGAGTTTTAGATTGGGAAAGCAGAGAAAAACACGTTTTGTGTACTCACTATCAATGAACACATGAAGCATGATGGTTTTTAAATGAGAAGTTAGCTGTCAGGATAGTAAATTGGGAGAGTGGATAGAGAGGAAGGCAGGTGGAAAAAGATTTTGTTTGCCCAAGGTGCTAAGGAGGTCATGAGGGTCATTCTCTCCGTTAATAGATGGCTGACTGAGGCACAAAGTCTCAGGTTTAATGGTCTGAGAGGGTTTTAAAAGATAGCGTTGTTTATTAAAGTATGTGCCTTAGTGATGATGTTAGTCAATTTACAGAATTGTGCAGTCATCATCAGAAACTAATTTTAGAATATTTCCATTGCCCAATTTTCAATAGCCCCTGCCCCAATTCTCATCTGCAAGCCTATGCAACAATCAATCTGTGTTGTGAGTTAGTATTTCTTTAGAGGGGCTTTTCAAATAAATTATATTATAAGATGTAATGACCCAGCCGGGCGGTGGTGGCGCACGCCTTTAATCCCAGCACTCGGGAGGCAGAGGCAGGCGGATTTCTGAGTTCGAGGCCAGCCTGGTCTACAGAGTGAGTTCCAGGACAGCCCGGGCTATACAGAGAAACCCTGTCTCGAAAAACCAAAAAAAAAAAAAAAAAAAGATGTAATGACCCGTTCTGCCCCATGTTTGGGGGCCACTATGTCCCGACCCGTTTGGGTCAGTCAACAGGGTCTAGCAAGAGAGAGATTGGGGATGGAGGGACAAGAGACATGAAGAATGGAGACAAGACAGAGTCTGACAAAGTCTCTTTTATTGAAAGGAAATCCTGAGTATTTATATGCTTTACTACGTGCCTTGCCCTAGTGGACAAGCAGGGGAACACAGCTGAAGGCACTATGCCACGTGCCTTGCAGCATGGATACTACGTTCGCCTTGCAGCTTGGGGCACTAAACAGCAAAACAAGATATGTGAGAAAAACAAGATGTTTATCAAAGTGTGCTCAGCTGTTGTGGGCTGTTGAAAACAAGTCTCTTGCCAGGGCATATGACCTGAGTTGGCTGCAAAGACGATAGCCGCTTTCTGCTAGGAGTTGGCTCCCAACAATAAGATACGTTGGTTCTGAAACCTTTTGCTTAGTGTGCTTCGAGGTTCTGCATATTGTGTCATTTACTGGGGCTTCATTCCTTTTAATGGATAAACAGTATCTTATTGTTGTAGTAGATCATATTTTTCTTATGCACTCACCTGATAATGACATTTGGATTCCTTTCATCATTTATATATTGTGAAAATACTATTGTGGACATTCACATGTCTCTGTAAAATAATTTAATTTTTTCTTGACTAGATGTGTGTAAGTGGAATTCTGGGTAATCTACTTAAGACTGTGTTGAACTTTGGGACGGGAGAGATGGCTTGGAGGTTAAGAGCACATACTGCTTTTGCATAAGATCTGAATTTGGTTCCCAACACTCATTATTTGGGCAGTGCACAGCCTGTAATGACAGCTCCAGCAGATTAGATGCCTCTAGCCTCTGCGCTCACCTGCACACATCTGCACACACACAGTTAATGATAAAGTAAAAGGATTGGTTTTACAAAGATTGTGTTGAACTTGATAAAGCTGTTGAAGGATTTTTCCAAAGTGGCTCTATCAGTTAACATTCTCATGAGTTATTCTCTGGTTATTTATTGATTGATTGATCATAGCTTCTCTGTCTTTTAAATGATTTATTATAACAACTCATTTGCCACCACCATTTATAAATATGAAAGGGGTGTTTATTAATAATTTTGCTTATTTGACATTTTTGTTTTTACTATTTATTCTTTTGCTCCATCTTCTCCTCTCTCTCTCTCTCTCTCTCTCTCTCTCTCTCTCTCTCTCTCTCTCAGAAGTGCACACCCTGGGAGAAGTGCTTAGGCACTGCGCCACTCCTTTCCCAACCCTTGTACTTGTTCTTCAGGCAATACTTTTCCTGGTCTAACAAAATAACGATCTTACTTTCATTCCTGAAATGTCTTTTTACTGGGTGTTTAATCTTGGACTGACAATAGTTTCAGGATTTGAAAAAGATTATGCTACTTGTTTCATGTGTCCAGGTGTTTAGTTAAGGAACAATCTCTTGTTTTTGAGTTGTCAGTGATATTTTATTTGCTGGATGCATTAAATGTTTTCTTTGTTGTTAATATTTGAAAATGTAATTATTATGTAATTTGAGCCTCCTCCTCTACCTCCTTTTTCTCTTTTCTTGAGACAGAGTTTGTCTATGTATCTCTGGCTGGCCTGGAA